ACAGCCCAACCCAACAAACAACCCCTCCGGCCAGAAGAGTCACAGCCACAGCCACAACTACTCCTCAATCGCTTCCACCAACGTATAATCCTCACCCACACCATTCTCACCACAATATAATCGCATCCACTAATGAAGCCAAACATAACCACCCGCCACCGACCAGACACACCCACCAGCTCGTCCCCGTCACCGTTTCCCTGTCACACGCCGTGTAGATAATTCTCCTTCGACCTAATTCAATCAACGCTGCCAGACTAGCCAAACTTCTCCTAAACGAGTCTCACCTACCCCTAAGAACAAAGAACACTTCCACAATGCCACGAAGATCTCGCGCCCATGACACCATCGAGGAAGATATCTACGGCCGCGAGCGCGATCCGTACTCCCGTCACAGCAGAGGGAAAGACCGACGCCGCCACTTCAAAGAAGAAGAGGAGGAACTCCGGTACGACCGACGAGTACCGCCGCCGCCTCCACCGCCTCCACCATCAGCACCGCCGATGCCCGTGCCGGTTGAGAAGTTTGAACGGATGCGGATACGGGATGAGAGAGCCCGGGGCCCGGAGATGATGATCCCTGTGGCCCCGGCGCCGCCGGTTGCGTCGCAGCTAGTGAGGGAGAGGGGGAGGGAGGAGCTCAAGGCCATGAAGCCTGTGCGTCGGCCGGTGCGAGAGGTTATTGAACCGAGAGAGAGGACGCGGGGGTCCGAGAGGGAGAGGGATCGGAGGGGGAGGCCGAGGTATCGCGGGGTTGATTTGGAGAAGGAGAGGTTTGTTCTGGAGGAAGAAGAGGAGGAGGAAGAGGAAGAGGAAGAGAGTTCCTCATCGGAGTCGGAGACTAGTAGTCTCGAGGAGAGTGATACGGAAGAGGAGGAAGAGGATATGGTCATTGTCGGGAGGCACGGGAGGCCGAAGCACGGCCACTTGTCACGAAGTGCAGAGCTAAAAGAGGCTCCGAGAGGGATTCTGCGCAACCCGAAACCAGAGCAGGACGAGTTGCTGCTGAAGCGGCATTATGAGCGCACTCGCAGCAGCGGTCCGGTGTATGCTACTGCTACGCGGACGCGACACAAGCACCGCCATCACCGACATAGAGATCTCGAAAATGCGGACGGTGAGCTCGACGAGGAAGTGGACAGAGAGGAGGTCTTCCGCCGGAAGTATAAGGAGCGCAGACGTGGTGGAGATGTGGTCGAGGAGGAAGAGGAGATCCGACGGTCTTCGTCGGAGATGGAAAGGTCTCGACTTCCGTCGCCAAAGAGATATCCTGCCTTCTCGGATAGGCATGTCTACGACGGTACTTTGCTCTGGCTTCCCTCTCTCCAACTTGGCTATTGGCGCTGACTTCGACTCAGATCACCGAAAGACTCATCGCCCTTGGCTCTCTAATTCAGACCTCCTTTACGAGTCCGAGACCCATCGTCGGTCTGTCCACGCGTCGTTCTTCATCATTGGAGTATGCAGCTAACGCTTGGGTAGGGAGAGGTCCAGAGGACGACTGGATAGGAATGAGATACCTATAATTCGACCCAAAAAAAGGGGCGGTCACCCTCCACCGCATCCAGACCCTTACCGACGTTCGAAAGACGCCCTTTCTCTCGTTGCCCCCGAAGCGAAGTTTGCTGAGCGCGAAAAAGAAGTGCTCACTGTGGTGCGCCGCGACGGCAACCACGAGTCCCTCAAGGAAGAAGAATTCGTTGAAGAGGATTATTATACGCCTCCAGGCCATCAGCCATTGCCGAAGAAAAAGTCGTTCAAGGAAAAGGATCAACTCGAGGTTATCGGGCCAGTCTCCCGAGCGAAACATGACAGAGCCCCGCCGGACACTGATGCGTTGCGATACCCTGACCGGGATCCAAAGCGTGGCTTTGGTGAGCTCCAACAGTCTGACGAGGACTCAAGCCGTCAGTTTGGTAGGATAGGAAGACGGTTTGTCGGTGTCAAGGACCATCGCGAGCGCCTCTGGACCGAGATCACGAGGGACTTGGTCGTGAAGGAAGCCCTCGAACGGGCGGGCTATGAGTATGAGGAGACAGAAACGTCGTACTTCATCTTTACCTACTTGGAGAAGGTGCGGACGCACTCATGCGCTGCCGCGTCACTGTGAACCCCTAGCTGACTGCTTTCGCATAGGAGCAAGTCGATGCACTGATCGAGCATTCGGAAGACATTCGCCGCGCACGCCGCCGTCGGGTCCAAGAGATCCACCGCGAGCGAACCTCGTTGCCTCCTCCTACAGCTCCTGGGCCACCGCCGCCACCGCCGCTGCCTGCATCAGCTACGGACAAGGCCGGCCCCCTACTGCTGGACAGCCCACCCCCACGCTTTCCTCGAGAGGAACGCCGACGAACGGAGCGAGAGATGGTTGCAGAAGGAGGACGCTGGAGGCCACCACCGCCTCGGGCGGAGCGATGGTGATAGCCGACTTCTTACAGAAGCATTACATGAGTGGAAAGCCTGCTGCACATGTGTCCGAGACTGCATTGACATTTCATGTGTGATACCCCGAATGAGTTTTGGATTACAGTTGGTGAGGTCCATGGTGATCGGTTGGCCTTAAATCCCTTGGGAGCAGCCCTCCATGTTTGGAGCTATATACGACTTATCAATCTACGCTTCAAGACATTGCTTAGACGCAGCCGAATTGGAACGGCTTACTGCAGTGTGCATTGCACCAGGTGACTTAATGCTATCTCACAACTCCAATCTCGACGTCTGCTTCACAGTATACGGTAGACCCGGCGTCTGACCCCTTTTTTTTTGCAATGATTCCTTGAACTTAAGTACAACGACTGGCTCAAGCCTCATCTGTCTGACTTGTCTTCCTCGATTTCGTATCATGTTACAGCGAAGATCCGATGATAGGTCACAGGACGAATCGGCGCTGGGCCTGAATACATAACTCTGTATTGCCCGGCGACAAACTCGGACGGAGCCTTCCATCTGACAGATCGAGCGGTGGCTTGTCAGGCCTGTCAGCTGGGACCCCGACCGACTTGATGTTTCACTCTACTCTCGCGTGGACAGTCCTGCTCGGCTTTATCAAACCGAAAGGCTCGAAATCTAGGAGTCAATGGAAAAATGACTGAAACAGAGAGGAAGAGAAAGCCTTTCCCAGCGTCGTCTCTCTTCTTTCTCGTACGGAGTACTACACATCACATCAATGTGTCGAGAACCCCATTTCTCTCACTGGGCACCCGTCTGTCTACCCTCAAATCGAAGCCTCTCTCAGCTTGACAACCGGATCCCACATTACTAATCCCCTCCATCGAACACACAGTAACTTAATCCAGTCCTCCACAGCCGTACGTACCGGTAGTCCACAGTGCCCGTCTTGAGTACAGTTCATACACTCCATACATAGTATTTACGGCTTCCCAAATTTAGGACCAAAGCCTAGTAAGCCGGTGGATCAACTTACAAGCCACTAGAGCAAATTAAAAGTGTCCCACAAAGGGGGGTGTGGAGGGGGGCCGATGAGAGACACTATCCGATGACTTATTTAAAAGTTGTCTGTGGCTGCTGCTATTTTTCGCCTTACCGTAGTGGCAGGAGCCGAGCTCTTTGAGCGAACGGGAGTATTCATTAGTTGATGGGCATTATGAGCATTCCATTCTATTTTGGTGATGGTCATGCCGTCTGTCAGTGCTGATATGGAAATAGACGTTACGGGACGGAGTACTCGTAGATTGGGGATTGGATCCTTTGGCCCCGGAAGGGATTCTTTCCCCTTGGGTTGAGTTGGGTATTTGTGGTTGGAGGGTTGAGTTGGATTGTGGATGATAACTTATGGGGTTGCTGTGAGAGAGGGATTTTCGACTGGATTGTCACTGATATACGCCCTATGAATCGGTCTCTCTCTCTCTCTCTCTCTCTCACACACACACACACACACACTCCTTTCGCTTATACTCGTAAGATTGAGGGATGAGAGTGATCGGCGTGTGAGGGACTGACTAATCCGATCCTTGTCCACTTTTTATTTTCCATTTCCCCCCCTTCAGCCACTTCTCAGCCGCCTCGCTGACGGTGTTTCGGATTGGGGGGGGACCCGTGGATTACTCGGTCTGGGAGGGATCGTCTATTTGACTTCTGGGTGAGGTGAAGTGTGCCTGTATCGAAATTCCTCGTATAGAGATTTGTGGGAAGATGGCTGGCAGATCCTCGGACACTACGGAGTACAGTAAGCTAAGGAAACCATCGTCTTGCACCAGCCACATGTTGATGATGGTGATGATGATGGAGGTGGTGATATCCCGACGGAAGTCAATTAGGTTTTCCTCATTCTCTTGTCAGTGCCACTGTCATCCTTTTGGGGCGTGTTTCATCCGCGGGAGAGCCGTAGCTCCCGCAAACTTCCCCTTCCCCTTCCATCCCTCTTTCATTTCCTGTCTTGTTGGTTTTCCTGTGTCTTGATGTTTGAGGATTTCGCCCGACTGCTGATACTGCTGGTAGTCTGCCTCAGAAGCGATGGCCACAACAACACCGGAGCTCTGGAGATGAAGTGGTTTGTTTACTCGTACTCGTAGTTAGTTAGTTACTGTGATCTCAAAACCTAAGGACGGGATCTCGGAAGAGCAGCTCCAGTATTGTCGTCATCAACTCTCTTAGCTCGGCGCCGGTGCATGTGCCCAGCAATGGGGTAGATTTGATAACCCGCCATGGATTGGCTGACACGCAGCCCTGCACGAAGCCTACGGTGTACGGAGAGAGAAGTTAGTTGCTTGGTGATGCGTACAGTAGTAGGGCGCACCTCCAGGGATATAGCTGCATGTGCACACAACAATGGGAAGTTAATGCACGGGTGGATGAACATCCCATCCTTTGGAAGTTCCGAGGAATGGAGGAATGAACTCCTCAGCTCGCCAGCCCGCCAGCCCGCCAGCTCGGAAGTTGACTTCTCCGTTGCCCATCATCGAAGCACCACCAACAACATCCCCCACGTAATCATGATGCGCCCACCTACACAGCTGCATGGCTGGTCTGGAGATAGCCGAAGCTTGTCTGGCTGTCGTCTCCGCCTGAATGCTCCAATTGTACGCGGTGCCTGGGGGCTTTGACACGAGGATAATCGAACCTTGGAATGCGCTGGACGGTGCAGTGGACATTTCCTTGGGTGTGTCAACGGGACTGACCGGCTGAGCAAACCAACCCCCCCATCATCACTTCGCTCCACACCCATGGGCACACACACACCCCCACGGTCGCTCGTTCGAGTCCATGGTTTGGATGCTTCCAGTGAGTTTACGAAAGACGTGGTTCTTCTCACCTCCGCAAGGCACTGAAATCTATCCGAGAGTCTAGATACTCCTGGAGTTCTTTCCCGCCTGTTCCAGCCCCCTCTCGATCATCCCCAGCTCATCAAATACATCAAATACATGTTGTGTACATCACATCATACGCGGACAGCTCAACTCTGGTCAGCTCCGATCCCTTCTAGACCACGGTGTTCCGTCTTGTCTCGCCTGGGCTGCGACTCCACCGGTGCAGATTCTAAGACCAGCAGCTGTCCTGTGCGGTGGCGAGTGCTGCAGCAAGTGGTGCAGTGCAGTGCAGAGCAAATAATAATTGAATGCAATAATACTAAATCTGCCGTTCCCTCTTTCTTTCCTGGGAAGGCCACCACCATCATCGGCCCGGGGCATCAGTCACCGTCAACTGGGAACACGGGAAAGAAGACCTTTTTGCGGTCAGCTTTCAGGCAACAACAACACCCACTCTTTCTGGTTGTTGACATTTGACTACTTTCCTCCAAGCTAAACAGTTACTACTAGTATATTCTTCCAACCGAACAAGCCATCTCGATCGACCTAGTCAGCCCTGAACTGCCCATTTATCTCGACCAAGCAAGCTGTAAAGTAGGCCACGCAGTGCCTGATCAGCTCCCACCAATTGACAGCCCCGGATCTGCGTCCGTGGCCTGTTCTCAAACGCTGAATAACTTGGCTCGGGTACAAAAGTGGCTGACCCCGGCAGATCCATCTCCCTCCTACTTTCTCTCTCTCCTTACCATGCAATTTTGTACTGTACGTACGTACTGTCCTCCGTACTTTACGTACTCCCCCGCTGCCCGTCCGTCGTCTCTCGCCTAGCCTGTGTCAGACAGAGTGACGCACGCACGCAGGCAGAAAGAATAAATTCGCAAATGAAAGTCTGCCCCAATAAGACTGAAGTATTGTCGGTATTTCGGTAAGAAGGTCAAAACAGAAACAGAAGGAGGAAGAGGAAAATTGGCACCGAGGATCGCGGCCGCCCCCATCGCCCTCTCCCACTCTCAGGATGATGTTTCAGAACAAGGATCTATCGCACTGTGTCATGCAGCTAGTGACTGGATCTGTGCCGAATAAACATCGAGGTTTGCTTGGTGGGCTGCCGGTGCTCGCTGCGACTTTAAAATTCGGGGGGTTTGTGTGGTTGGTGTGGTTGTCTGGCCGGACTGCGCCTCAACAGTTGTGTGATTGTTTGAATTGTCAGTATGGTTCAGTTATACTCAGTAACAAGTGAGCATTGCTTCATTCCTTTGTTCAGATGCTGTTGCTGTTCTGTTGTTGTCGTCATAGACCTTTTTGGCCCCCCCTGGATCACCACTTGTGGCCCATTTGCTTCCTTTCCTGCCTTTTGTTTTTTTTTCTCCCACCTCCCTCCGTAGTAGGTCCAACTGCGGTGGCGCCGTATTGTAAGCATCCTGTTGAGGACTCCTAGCAGATCGGAATTTGGATACGGTCCACGTATGGATGTAGGCCGATGGGTACCAGATGGGTAAGGTACGAGGTGTCCACCACACGGTACTGGGGGCGGGAGTCACAAGTGGTTCCAGATACTTCTCTATCTTCGGCCTGAGTCTAATCTCGAGATCGCTCACTGTCAGTTAGTACTAGTGAGTGAGTGTCAGTGAGTGAGTGAGTGATAATACTAATTCTATAGATGGGGAGAGTTGTTTTTTTTCATATCAAGGCGGAGATCAACCAGTCCGTCCGTGGTTACCTAGCACCAACTCAAGATAGTCTCTCGACTTAGTACTTAGTACTTCGTACTTCCGTAGTGTCTATTTAGTAGTCTACGGATAGTGTCGACTGGATGAATCGAGGAGATTGCCTTAATGCTCCGTACCAGCAAAGACGCGTATGGTCCCGACGGTTGGTGAAGCCACTAAACCCGAATGTAGCCTGCAGGGCCCCACTCCCAAGCGGGTAAGCCGGATTTTTATTTTTATTCTTTCTGCCTCTTGTTTTTTTCTGTCCCATTCTTTTTTTGGTGTTGTGGTGTTTTTTCTTTTCTTTTCTTGTTTTTTCTTTACTTTGTTATTCAGTATCTCCCATACTTCAAAGTACACGAGAATGTAACTTATTGTATGCAGGCGATTCAACCAGAGACATCGCCATGGACTGTTTTTTCATTGCCTTTTCATGGTGGCAGTAGTGCTTGATTATTATCTACGAGTATCTGGAGTCCAATCTATACTACGTACCTACCGTACACAACAACACCAATTCTAGAGTGATGACTGGCTGACCAAGTGGAACATCGGGACTGAGCCGGATCTGGTCCCATCCTGGTTCTTACCACTAAGACTACGGTAAGACTAAGACTAAGACTCAGACTAACTAAGGACTAAGTCAGTGACTACGACGCCCGCCGCTTCTACTGTGCTGCTTCTGCTGCTGCTGCTGCTGCTGCTGGTGGTCCTGCTGCAGTACGGGTACTGGACCCGTTCGTCGTACCAGAAGAAGACACTAACTTCCTTACCCAGAGCAGTCAAACCAACTCTCCAGCTCCCCCCCATCTGTTTAGTTACTTACTTACAACTTGCTTGGATTTCTTGCTTTTCTTGCTTTTCTTGCTTTTCTCACCTTCTCTTACTCTCTTTCTTTCCCTCTTGTTCTCTTGTTCTCTTTCTAGACTCTAAGTGAGCTAGTTCACCAACTAACACGATCGCTTCGTTTGTTCTCTGTTCTTCCTTATCTGCGCTGTCTTTCCGGCTCCATACGATCGCTCTGTTCCTTGCCTAGCAAGCCATTCACTTCCCCCCCTCCCCTGTTCGGAGGTGACGATGCCGATAACCTGCTAATCCTACCGGTGTCGCCTCGAATCCTGTACCTCCGATTCTCTCCCCCCCCTCCTCTCCCCTCAATCTCTGGCTTTGAGTCCCTTCGCTTGTGAGAACGCCCCCTTCAATTGCTCGCCAAGTTTCCACTGCCTCTCGTTGTCTCAATTCGACCCGGAGCCGTCGTTTGGTCAAATCTCTGGTAGGTATCAGTGCTCGATGTGGCCGCTGGAGTTGGTGGCTGATCGACATTAGCTACTTTTACCTTCAACCAAGCCCAAAAGGAACCTTTGGCGGGACACCGATCCGACCAGCAATTGTGGAAGCTCTAGGTCGTCCCCGATCTCGGCACGGGCCTGGCGCATAACATTCTCCAACTTTGGGGAACCTGCAAACAATTTCTTCAGACCGACTGATCGGGTGATTCGAGGGTGTGGTGACTGCAAAGCGTGATACCTTTCGGACCAGTCGACTCGAATTAAGGAGGTCGCCGTCTATCCCTCTCGAAGATTTCACTTCACTCAGTCCGGTTGTTCGTAGCAGCAGCCTTGAAGACGACTTCACGTACGATACTTCAACTGCACTCGAGCATCTAATTCCCGGCATCTCCATTGCGGGTGCGATCGTTGCCTGCCATGCGGGCTCAGCTTGTGCTCCCGTCACTGCTCGGGGCGATCGCCTTACTCGCCTGGCCAGTGTCGGTCTCCTCATCTATCACCTACTGTTCGTCCGTGAACACGGGATCTTCCCAAGCCGCAAGTATGTCTTCGTTCATGGCAGCTTTCGGCTCGGTTCTAACCGTTGATAGATGAGAGTACGTTCCAGTCAAACGGTCTCTGCGAGGATCATTGCAGTTCCTATGCGTTCGGTATCCTGCAAGGCTACGACTGCTGGTGTTCGAACATTGTTCCGAATTCGGCAACCAATGTGAACAACTCGAAATGCAGCCAAGATTGTCCTGGGTATCCGGATGATAGCTGCGGAAGTACTTCCAAGGGCCTGTATGCCTACGTCGAAGTCGTCGGCAACCAGCCAACAGGCACCGCGACCGTCTCGTCCACTTCAACCACATCAACTTCGGTCAGTAAACCTCTTGGCCGGAATCTTTGTTATCGCACTGGTGAAGGATGTGCATTACGGGGCTAGATTGGGACCCGGTTCGATCAAGTGAAACCGCTAGGGACCACATCGTACTCGGTCGAGATATATGCTCTTGATAAGATTGTGGCGCATCCTAAACGAGTCGCGATTCGAAGAGATTGTACGAACAAGACCACCGCACAGACACTGACTTCTCTTAGACATCCTCGACACAATCGTCTTCTACGACATCAGCTGCCACTACAACTACTGGCCAGACTGTGTCGACCGAGACCAATGCTGGGGGTACGGTCAAGACGGTCACTCTTGAAGCACCACAGCCGACCGCGACGGCGTCCAGTACTGGCACGTCGTCCAAGTCCACTAGCAGCTCGGGCATGAGCTCGGGAACGATTGCTGGTATTGTGGTGGGATCCATTGGTGGTGCCCTTGCAATCATTGCTCTGATATTCGTTCTCTTCTTCGCCAAACGCAAGCAGCGTGCGAGCAGCCCTGATCCAAGTGTACAGAACATCCTACTGGACGGAAGACAAAGCAAAGGCTCACAGATGAGTTTCATGAAGGGCATGTTTTCCGATAACCATAGTCATACGCTATCGGCCGGATCGTCGATCGCCGCCCACCGTCTGCCGACCTTCACGGACAACCGCATGAAGACCGATACCGTTCTGTTTGCCAATGGTCGTCGTGACAGCGATGCATCGCTGCAAGACAACGAGGACTATTCTCGTCCTGTTCTACGGGTCAGTCATGTGTTTTGTTCTGATGATGCTATGTCTCAGGCTAACGATAATCCTAGCTCACGAACCCGGACTAGAGTATCAGTTGATGGCCGACCGAACCCGTCTCCTTGCGTTTGTTTCTATTGCATTTGCGCTCTCCTATGTCTCTGTCCATTTTCGATTTGCGTGTTTTCGGCGAAAACAGCGGTGTTATGATACCCATTTGTCACATAATCCTCTCGACATTTCACACACATTTTTATTCGACTGCCTTGGGAGATGATGATGAGCTCGACCCACCACACCATCTCCGCCACCGACCAACCACCCGGTTCCTCGCTATTTCTCCCCTTTTCCGCCGACCGAACCCCGCTTTTCCCAGCCAGCTCACTTATACTGACCAGCCAACCGACCGACTGCATTGCACCCCCTCTTTCTCCTCGATCATCTACGCGTCATGTATTTTTGACCGATGACGCCATGAACCTCGGTCGGAGAAAGGGGGAAAGGGGGAGAGAGAGAGATCCCAGAGGAGGATACTATCCCCAGCGACCTCACACAACCTCACACAGGCATCCTTGATCGGTTTGGGTCCGGAGGAAGAAGTCACGGTCGCTTCAGTGTTGCAGTGCAGTGCAATGCATGCAGGCCTCCCCCATCAATTGTCCGCTTGGTGTCGACAACCACACCTCCTTTCAACACCCCCTTAAACTCCTCTACAACCTATCCTCGCCATTTCAATGGTCGAAGTTCGTGTATATCGACACACAGGACCTGTGCCACCGGCACGGGCTGCAGTACATACTCTAATAGATTAGCAGAGTCCTGATATTATGCTCTTTGCCTTTTTTTCTTTTTCTTTTTCTGTTGTTACCGTTTTCTGTCAGTGTCAAAGCTAAGCTAAGCTGTACCTGAACCGTTGTTTTTCTTCCTGCGGCCATCTGTGCACACCTCGAAAATTGCATTGTTTAAGACATTTGTTGATTGGCCGGTGGCAGCTGTGCTGAGCACCATGCACCCAATGGGCCTGTAATATCCCGCCACCATGTGATCACCCTAGCTTCGATGTATGGACATTAGCTCGATTATTTGATATAGATCATCGTGAAATATACAGCCTGCGGTTGAACACCTGAACCACCTGGAAATTGTGTGCGGGTACATCCGTTCCACCAACCCATCGATGAGAAAACCTTCCTTTTGTCGAAACAAATGACGACACAGTTGGTGATAAACACGCGTGCGGTTCAAGGTTCCTGGACTTCCCTTCCGCCTCTGGTAGTCTAGTGGCCGGCTCTTTTCTCCATCGTCCCAGGCACGCGAGAATTTCCAGATGCCCACCCACTCTGCCCACCTGTCCCCACCCACTACTGAGACTTGTACATACTATGTACGTGTAGGGGGATCCATCTTCCTCCTGACTCGATCACTCACATCCAAGTGCATCCCATACATAACGACTAATTCCCTCATTCCGAGCCCGAGCCTCGAAAAAAAGAGAAGCGGGTACCTGCATTGACTACAAGTACAGTACATCTCAATATCTCCCTCGCCAGTCGCCACCCCGATCATTCCCTCACAATCGGGTGTTGGGGGGAGTGTAGAAATGATGTCATGGGTTTGATTGTGGATTGTGTAGCCACGGATTCCTTGCCGGTGGCGGTTTGTGCTGGATGATTCATTAAGCATGAGTTGACTAAGTTGCCGGTAAGTTCGCTTTCGTTTCAGATCTAACGTCAGGTGGTTGATCCAGGGTTTTGAGGTGGGATTTGGCTTCTTGCTTTGTGGGTGCGAGGGTGGTTTTCTTTTTGGTTGGATATAGGAGGGTTTTGGATTTGGGTCTTGCTGTTGATGTTGTTGTTGGTGTTGCTATTGGGGGGGGGGGG